AGCATCCACAGCCACAGTAGCAGAGGGACCCAACAACCATCTGCGATGTGATTTGTGGGCTTTGCTCCCTCCACAACTGGTCCCCCCAGTTGTTCCTCTAGCTTCCCAACAACAAAATTCCTTTCTGTGTCAATTTACCAAACTTGTTTATCTACTTAAGCTTAAGAAGCTCCAGCTTTTGATTGGGTCTGTTGAAGTGAGTTGGGTTGGGTTGAGCCTGAGGATCTGTTCAAAGGTTAGTTGTTTGTTTTCTTTGTTTGTGTTTTCAACTTGACCCAAGTAGGCAAGTTTGCTAGGGCAATTTCTTGAGTCCTGGTTGATGTGGAAGGGGCAGGTACACTGTGAATGGTGCCACACCTGTGTGGTATTGTGTAAGAAAGCAAGCTGAACAAGCTACAGGGGAGCAAGCCAGAAAGCATACCCCTCCATGGCCTCTGCTTCAGTTCCTGCCTCCAGGTTCCTGCTTGAGCCCTGACTTCCCTTCATGATGGACTGACTGTGACATGTAAACCAAATAGATCCTTTCTTTCTCAAGTTGGTTTTGGATGTGGTGTTATCACAGCTACAGAGAAGCAAACTAGGAGAGTGCACAACTCAGCTTCCTCCAGCCACTTTCCCCAGTGGGAACACAATGGAGGGAAGGAGTTGCTTCTCAGGAGGGGACAAGCTTCTCAGCCAACAGCCATCAGTCACTGTGTGACATGTAGGCAGAGAGGAGAGTGATGCTCCAAGCCTGGAGAGGCTGGAACAGCCAGGTGAATGGCTGCCCAAGGCCATGACTGATGCAATTGAGCCTGATAGAGCAGAAATACCCTGCACCCATTGTAAGGATTCAGGCATTGTGCTGGCCTGCCTCTGTCACCTGGCAGAATGCACTCAGGAAGTACCCTGGTAAGCCCAGGTGCAAAGGAGCTCTTTAAAGAAAGACCCCCGCCCACATACTCTCTCTTTCCGCTGTTCCCCTGGGGCAGACAGGACTTTTCCTGTCTCCTTCTCTTCTGTCCTCTCTGTCTCTGTGTCTCTTTACTTCTTTTCTCTTTACTTGCCCCTTCCTCCCCTTTCTAATAAAACTTGTCACTAAGCTCTGTCTGCCTGGCATGTTTGTCTCCCCCCGCCCCCGCCCTCGGTCACCCTCACCTGCCATGGAATCCATGCAAGGTTCCCCTCACGATTTATTGTAACCCCCATCTCTCCCAAGATTTCAGCCTGGGTGCAAATTTCCAGTGGCACTTCAAGGTGCTGGCCACCTGGAATCTAGACATGCCACATCCCCCCAGCCATAACCGATGCTTTCTTAACTAACCTTGTGTTTGCCCCGCCTAAATGGACACTGGGCTTGCGCAAACACACTAGCATGGCCCCTTGAGGGTGGGGAACCACAGAGGTTATGGCTGGAGGTGCTTTCTGAAGAAGGGCACCACGGCCTTGGCCTCCT